CCAGCCTCGACACGGATGGATTATATAGCAGAGTTTACTGTCACGATGCCGATTTTAAGTTTTACTGGAACGAGTGAAATATTAGACCGTCTAACACATATTGTCCAGGTCTATTGTGTACAAACACAAGCAATACAGCAGTATGCTTTAGACTTATCTCAGTGCTTACCCCCACCATTGGACAATGTGGTGTTAGAAAAGGCAGATTCTAATGTTTCACAAGATTCTGCTGGGGTTGAAGGACTGGCTGCCTTGTTTCCGTCTGGGAGCAAGCCAACTGACACACCCTTCACTAGTTCTACACCCAGGGGTTCAGTGCTAGTCAATGGCTCTGAAAGTGCTACTGCAGAAAGATATCCTGCAAGCACCACTTCTCAGGATGCCGCATCCATTGCAAATACGGAATCTAAACCTGCTACACTGTCACCTGTAGCTAGTAACACAGACATTGTCTCTACTGCATCACCTCCTATTCCTTTGAGCCCACGCTTGTCTAGAAATCTGTCTGGTTTTAGAAGTCCAGTGGTTTCCTTTGAGCCTATTACTGCAGTTAGTGATCATGCTGGTGACCGACGTGGTAATGACTTTTCAGTCAATCGACAAATGGATGCCATTCACACAAATTTGTCGGAAGTGTCTTCCCTGGATGATGAGTCCAGAATCATCGAGGAGAAAATTGGACGGGAAGATCTGTCTAACGTCCTAAATCCTCCGATTGTGTTTAAGCATCCAACTCATCTTATTACCCCCTCTGAGATACTGATGGCTGTTTCTTCCTCTGAAACAACGAATGTCACTGAAGGTAAGAGTGAGGGAGAGACAAATATCCAGGACGTAGTGGTTAACAATGACGTTGAAGATACAGAGCTGGAGGTTAAAGAGGTAGAAATGAAGTCTCCTCAGAATGGTGAATATGGTCGTAGAGGTGAGCCTCAAAACCTTTCTCCGGAAAACAAGGAAAAAATTTTCTGCTCACAAGCTTCAGATCTTGGTATGGAAGTGGCTCGAGAGTGTAGTACACTATCATCTGAAACTTATATCATTGAGGAATCTCCACAAGTTGATGCTAATACAATAAACACAGAGGAAGACTCCCAAACTGGTGAGGGTGATAGAACATCTGCCAAAGATGTGTCGGAAAAGGTTTCAGAATCATCTATATCAACAACTCTTCAAATTCCAACTCCTAATACAAAGGGGAAAAAGAACAAGGGGAAAAATTCTCAAGCCTTAGGCTTGGTTTCCCAATCTCCCAGTGCTTTCAATTCTAATGAATCTTCCACTGAACCTTGCGGTAGTTCAAGCCTTCCTCCACCTGAAGCTGCTTTTCCTCCTTTACTGGCCATTCAAGATACGTTGAATCAGGTTAGGATTAGTAGATCTTTTAGCACAGAGTAGTCAATATCCATTTTTCTTCCATATCTAGGAAGGAAAATATTTAATTCTAATATGGACTTAATTTTAGAAATTTCATGATCCATGCCGAGTGAGTAATTCCATTATGGCCATTTTTTCACAATTTGAGTTCGTTGCCTGAGTTATTGTACTCTAGATGGTCCTTTGGCCTGTCTAATTGTATTGGTTAATAATTTCAAATACTTTTGTATAGATAATGAGCACTCAGAAAGAAATGCAAAAGCAGATGCAGACGACGCTTGCAGTTCCAGTTACTAAAGAAGGTAAAAGGCTGGAGGCAGCTCTTGGACGGAGCATGGAAAAGGCCTTGAAAGCGAATGCTGATGCATTATTGGCCCGGATTCAGGAAGAGAGTGCTAAAAATGAGAAATTATTACGTGATAATACTCAAAAGATAACTAGTCTTGTTGCAAACTTTGTCAACAAGGACTTGCCTGCCTTTTTAGAGAAAGCTCTGAAGAAGGAAATGTCAACCATAGGACCTGCTGTGGCTCGCACAATAACACCAGCTATTGAGAAAACAATTTCTTCTGCCATCACTGATTCCTTCCAGGTTTGAATTTATTCGCATACAGACTCTTCTCTTTTTCGTTCTCATCATGGGACCTTATTCATGGCTTGTGTGATGTAGAGAGGAGTAGGCGACAAGGCAGTAAGTCAACTAGAGAAAGCTGTCAACTCAAAGCTTGAAGCAACTGTTGCTAGGCAAATCCAAGCACAGTTTCAAACCTCCGGCAAGCAAGCTCTTCAGGTTTTGTTAATATTTAATAAGCCATCATCTCTATAATTCATTGATAATATTTCTTTGCAGCTCTTGGTTGTTGAGAATTTTGGTTAGAATAATAATCTTCTTATGCAGGATGCACTAAAATCTAGTTTTGAAGCATCTGTAATTCCTGCCTTCGAAATGTCGTGCAAAGCCATGTTTGAGCAAGTAGATTCTACCTTCCAGAAAGGACTGGTTGAACACTCAGCTGCAGCTCAGCAGCACTTCGACTCCTCACATTCTTCATTGGCACTTGCTTTGAGGGTACAATTGCTGAGCTGACATTCTTGATAGAATATAATTTACTCCCAGTTATAATCCCGTGTTTCACTTTTTTATTATGGTGAAGCTTATCATTCGTCTTACGGCCTTATGAGTAATGTGCTAATCAAGTTATGACATGATGTTTTTAAAACTTTGGAGCAGTATGGGAAATGGTTATCTGTCTATTATGGTTATGATCTGTAAAATTAATTGGTCTCTAAGGATGGGTGGACTTTATCCATCTGCTCTGCATGCAAAAAGGATCGGTTCTAGCTATAATTCATAGATAAAGCCTGTTTTGTAGGTCCATGCTGGACATAAACGAAGTCACATTTTGGATTTTATGTTAGATAAGTCCACACAACACTTGACATTTTCTTTGCATATCTGGATGGTGGATTTATTTGAAGTTCCTTGGATTTTCATGTATCTGGTTCAACCCAAGTTGAATTGTTAGGTACATTTGAAGGTTGAAGACGATGATATTTGATTAGCATGATTTGGCACCTTCTACAATCACCTTATTTTTATTAATTATTGTTTGTTTGCTGCTTTTTCCACCCGTGAACTAATTTAAGCATCGAATACAGGATGCAATAAATTCAGCATCAACAATGGCACAGTCCTTGAGTGGAGAATTGGCTGAAGGCCAAAGAAAACTGATAGCCCTTGCAACTGCTGGAGCAAATGCTAGTTCAATGAATCCTTTGGTTACCCAACTAAGCAATGGACCATTGGGTGCTCTCCATGAGAAGGTTTACTCTTTTTACTTTTCTTCCTTGTATTTCACCTACTGGCCTGGTCTCATGTATTCTCAACGCATGCACTAGGTTGAGGTTCCTTTGGATCCTACCAAAGAACTGTCGAGAATGTTATCTGAAAGGAAATATGAGGAAGCTTTCACCACTGCTTTACAGAGAAGTGATGTGAATATTGTCTCTTGGTTATGTTCACAGGTAATGTATGGAGTGACTGATTTTTGCATGCTTATGTTTTTAGGTTCGTGCGATGTCACCTTGTGGTTGTTTTTTCAATATTTCTTGTGTATTCCTTCTTCTAGAATCCTCTTCAAAGATTTGTTTTTCTTCCTTTGTTACCGTCATTACCATGTTGAATGCCTTCTTTCGATTACGAATGTTTGTTCTAGAAAGTATGGTCAGTTTTAGGACTGTATAGGCCATTACAAGCTTAACGAATGATGGATCCTTTTTCTGGCTATCCCATAGTTAGTGGTCTTGCATCTGTTTCTTCACTAATTTTGATCATCTTGCTATGAATGTAAACCGCAGTGGGTAAATACTGATTCTGAGCACTTCAACCACTAAACTAGGAAGATATATTGTGTTGTTTGGCAGGTTGACCTTAGGGCCATTCTGGCAAATCCCCTTGCTTTGAGTCAAGGAGTACTGCTGTCACTTCTGCAACAATTAGCCTGTGATATCAACAAGGATAGATCCCGGAAAATTGGATGGATGACAGATGTGGCTGCAGCCGTTAATCCCACAGATCCAATGATAGCAATGCACGTACGACCCATCTTTGAACAGGTGTATCAGATTTTGAACCATCAACGGACCTTGTCATCGATCTCTCCAGTTGAGCTCACTGGCATTCGTATTATAATGCATGTTGTCAACTCCATGCTGGTAACTTGTAAATGATTCTTCCCTCTCTTTTTGGTATGTAATTTTGTTCTGTGGCACTTCAATACTCTAATGTGCAGATATAGAGCATGGAGAATAGATACACATCTCCTCTTTCATGTTTGTTTCTGTAAAAGGCACCGAAACCGTGTAGTAGATCCATTGTCGAATCTGTTGTGAAGTAGGCGTAGCATAGGCTCGCTCACATTTTGTTTCTCTTCGTTTCATTTCGTTTTTACGGGTGATTTTCTGTTGTCGTGCTAGAGTAGAGATGTGGCAGATGAGAAAAGCTGTTGGAATATGTTGCATTTTCCTTCTCTTCATGATTCCCACAAAGGTTGTGGGAAAGAGATTTTGTAGGTGGTTGGAACTAAAAAAGAATAGAAGAGTTCCACCTCCCTTATTTTTTGTCCAAATTTTATAACTTTCAAAAACCTAATCTTTCTACTACTTTATCCTTTTTGGTTTTGTGTCAAATATTTCTTGGCCTTGTGGTCACTGTTCAAGGTTATAATTGTCATTCCCTATCGTTGCCGCACCTTCCGTATGGAGACGGGTCAGTAGACATGAGATACTCGAATAAAAGAGGAGCAATTGAGATCACATTCAAATTTCTATTATAACATCCATAATAATCTTTGATTATCAACGATTTTAGTTTCAAATATATCATTTTCATGATCCGTAGGGGATGTGATCTTAAGTTGGCTTATGTACCATTTGCTGTCCTTAAAAATTATCTCGTTGAAAAGTAATTCTCACTGAATTTTGTTGATTTAAAAATCTTAAATTCATGACTTTCATGAACCAAACGTAATATTTGAATTAAAATTTTTTGTCTAATCCATTCAACTTAAATAAATAAATAAACGAACGTTAGTGGTTGAAAGACAGACGTGAAAATCACAGAGACGACAGTCATCGAAGCAATTCGTTGTTCCATCGCTCCTCCTCTTTTGAATGAATGTGGCTCATCATCCTAAACCTTCTTCGAATTCCATTGCACGCCATTCCAATTCTGTGTTCAGAAAGCGTACAAATTTTGTTCCTGTCCTGTTGGTGTCGGGGTAGCCGATCGATGACAACCGAAGCTTGTTTTTTGGTTTCTTCGGTGTTCAGGATTTTTCTTCGCCAAATTTTTGCTCACCTGAGTTGGCTTCAAGTCTCTTCAACCTCTTTTGTTTTGCTTTCACTGCCAATTAGGGTAAGACACAAGTTGTCTAGAAGATGTATTGTATTTAGTTCATAATCTTTAACACTAAATATTAACTCTCGTTTATTTTGTTTCTCTTTTGGTTCATATTCTCATTTATTTAGTTCATATTCTCATTTATTTAGTTCAGAGTTATGTCTACGTATTTTCCTAGAGGTAATTGGGAGGAATTTTGTTGTGAGACATTGTAGTGTGAGAGCATAAGAGGTACACTTGTAAACACTTTGGTTGTAGTGATTGACTATCACCCGTGGATGTAGAGGAATTTCTTCTCTTCAAATCACGTAAATCTTTGTGTCTTTTTGTTTAATTTCGGTTTGTGGGATTGCAAGTGTGAGCTTCTGCTTCCGTTACAACTATTGGGTATCAAAACATCGAAGGTTGTGGCATTTAAGAGTACAACAAGTGGTATCAAAGCACCATGTGGTGTTTGGGGTATTCTGAAATGCTTAACATCATTGATCACAAGACGTGATACAACAATTATGTTCTTGATTGTGGCATTACATTTAAGAGTACAACAAGTGTTGAAGGTGTGGTAAAATTTTCTGTCTTCTTATTGGCGACCTTCATACTTTATGCTAGAAGTAGATTCTTTGCATATAATCTATTCCTTTCTTCGGCCTCGAATTACGCTTCGTATTTGTTCTCTTTTGCTTTGATTCTCTTGTACACTTTTGAATTTGAACAAATATGGTTCTTCATTGGCTGATACATCAATTTGAGGTTTCCCCGGATTTGTATTAATAGGATATTCAAACTAACCAGCTGCGTTAATGCTCTAATATCTGGACATCTGAATTAATCTCAACACAAAGATATGCACAAACCACGTTCTGTTCTCCCACCTCTTGGCAGATTGGTTAAAATTAATTGGATACTGATTTTGAACTGAAGGATTCTTGTTGTTACATGTGGCTTCCATATATGATAATTGAGTAGAAGGTTTGGAGGTGAACCTTTTCAACTGGTTTAGTAACTGAGGTTTCAAAGAACATGAATTACTTTCTTGAAGGTTTCAAGATTGTAATAGAATGTTGGAGAGTTCTGCTTACAAGAGCGTGAAGATTGTACTCTTCTTAAATACACTCAACTTCCTTTGGCCTTTTGGGCCTCTACCAATTCTTTTGGATAAGTTGGCTGCGCTTATTAATGTACACGACTGTCCCATGTATGTCCTGTTTTCTTTTGATTTGGTTATATAATGAATTCATTATTTGTTCAATTTTCAGTGCTGACATAAAGAATGAATCTGCAGCAGGGGGTCTACTAATGCTACTTTTAGAAATGCAACAGAACTGATTATATCAATTTTGGCATTGAAGTCAAATGATACGTGCTGTTCAGCTATAATTACTATCCTTAATTATGTCGAACATGTTCCTGGTGCTTGGTTGTGCATTCTTCTTTGGTGGGATTGTTTTCTATGACAAAGGTACAATTTCTTAAGCTACTTTTAGTACTAAAACTGAAATCTTATCCAGGCACCTGCTGTTGTCAACTTAGGATTGTTGTTAATGGCTGTCATGTGCCTGCTCTACATCCACAATGAATCCCATTTTGGGAAGTCGAAATTGGCACTCGAGATTCAGCAGGTGCATTATGCTTCTGGCTTATGTACTTATCTTTTCTTCCCATTGAAAAGTTAGACGAATCTTTATTCTTCCATTTATGAGGCTGAGAATGATCCATCAATTTTTTCTTTTTATGTTATCCATTCTTATCATGGTAGATATAAATTTTAATTTGCGCTTTCTTTTGCATAATATTTAACCTTATGGGGCTTAATGGGGCTATCTTTGAGCTGTCTTGTGCATAATATTTGGAAGTGTTGCACATGCAAAGATTCAGGAGGAGAAACGCATGAAAATTGAAGATAAAAGCCAAAGATGCATATTATTGGGTTGTGGTGGGAACTGCAACGGATATAAACGGTATAATTTTGTGACTCGCGAACTTGTGATGTCGAGAGATGTTAAGTTTGATGAAAATCAGAGTGAGGAGTGGAAGACAACTGACGAAGGAGTACCATCGTCTAGTACTCTTGATGATGACTCATATCATGACGAGTTTAGTAGTCCAGGACACGACAAGAAACATCCAAGAGATCTATGACTCTGATTGAAAGTAAGGAGGAGTTCAACCATTTTTGTGTCTTTACCGGTTTTGATCCCTTGAGGTTTGAGGAGAAAAATAAGAAGACAAAGTGGAAGAAAGCTATGGAGGAGGAGATTCACTCCATAAAGGAAAATATCATCATTTCCACAAGGCTAAAAAATCATTGGTGTTAAAGGGGTTATAAGGCTAAGAGAGATGCAAAAGGTGCAATAGAGCACCACAAAACAAGGTTGGTCGTGAAGGGCTATAAGCAAAAGCATGGGATTGACTACGATGAGGTCTTTGCCCCAGTTGCAAGACTAAATACAGTGAGATCGTGATCTCACTCACGACCCAATGAAGGTGGAAGATGCATCAAATGGACGAGAAGTTTGCATTCTTGAATGAAAAACTTAAGATTAGAATACATCTCTTCCTCCAACAAAACAGATTTGAGTACGGAGAGAATTTTGCCCCTTTTCCATAAAAACTTTACATTGCTCCAATACAACTCACATGGAGAAGTGTTTGTCTGTTTGTATGTTGATGACCTGATGTTTATAGGAAACAACAACTCTATGATCCAAGAACTCAAGCACTCAATGGAGAAGGAGTTCAAGATGACAGACTAAGGTTTGAATGAACTACTTCCTAGGCATTTGGATTTTTCTTTTCCAGTCTAAGTATGCCAAGGAGATCTTTGAGAAATTTGTTGTTGAAGACTGTCAGCCGATAGACACATCTATTGAGTGTGGTCTCAGATTAACAAAGGTGAAGGGAAGTTGGTTACCCGATTTATTTCAAAAGTCTAATGGATTGTCGAAGGTACTCGACTTGTACTCATCCTAACATTCTATTTGGAGTAGGATTTGTAAAGTAGATTTATGGAGACACCAAGAACCTCATATTTGAAAGCAGCAAAGAGGATTCTCAATTACCTAAAGGGGACCGTTGAATATGGATTTACTTGCGAAATTGCAATCTTGAGTTGGTTGGTTGCTGCGATAGTCATTGGATCGAAAGTCATGAATATCAAAGAAGTACAACTGGGTTCTTATTTTATCTGGGCGACATTGGTCATCGAAGAAGCAATCTATGTAGCTTTTTAACTTGTGGGGTTGAATATATAACAACATGGTTGAGAAGATTATTGGAGAAACTGGAGCTAAAACAAGAAGAAGCAACCAAGATTTGCATTAATTACAAGTCAGAAGTCAGCCATATGAATATCTCTAGCCAAGAACTTGTTTCATCATGAGAGATCAAAGTATATTGACACTCAGTTTCACTTCATGAGAGAACATGTGAAGACAAGAGAAGTAGAATTGCACCATGTAAGTTCGAGTGATCAAATTTTTGACATATTTACAAAAGCATTAAGGTCGGATGCCTTTCAACATATGAAGAAGAAGCTTGACGTCCAAGTTCATGATGAAACAAGTTTAAAAGGGGAGAATGTTAGATATTAAACTTGTTTCATGCATTTACAGATACATGAATGTGTATGATACATGTACATGATTATTAATTGAAGAGTCATGAGAATTAAATTCATTCGTAGATAATATATTGGATTGTTCATGTACCACCGTAATGATAGTACATGTATGAGGTAGATTTGTTATTTAATATTTGGTACATGTATGGTCATGAGGATGTTCCAAAAGGCCTATATAAGGATCATCTATGCAGAGATTTATTATCAACTTTGAAATAGAATACATCTCTTCCTCCACATAGAAAAACTGGCACCAAATACATTGTTTTTGTTATTTTTGATAATAAATCTCTACATAGATCGTTCTTAATAGGCCTTTTGGAACATCTTCCATGACACCGTACATATACGAACTATTAAATAATGAATTTACCTAATTCATGTGCTATCATTATGGTGATACAAGTGATACATGAATAATCTAATACATGTATCTACCAAATGAATCTAACTCTCATGTGTTGAGGATTATTGGGAGTGAGTCCCACATTGGTTAATTTAGTGGAAGATCATGGGTTTATAAGTGGGGAATACTATCTCCATTGGTATGAGGTCTTTTGGGGAAGCCCAAAACAAAGCCACGAGAGCTTATGCTTAAAGTGGACAATACCATACCAATGTGGAGAGTCGTGTTCGTCTAACATGGTATCAGAGTCATGCCCTAAACTTAGCCATGTCGATAAAATCCTCAAATGTCGAACAAAAAATTGTGGGCCTCAAAGGTGTTAAGGGGAGGCTATTCAATAAGCCTCAGGGAAGGTTTATAGTGTACTTTGTTCGAGGGGGGATGATTGTTGAAGATTATTGGGAGTGAAGTCCCACACTGGTTAAAGCCATTAGTGACTTTAATTCTCTAACATCATGACTCTTCAATTCTCTCATGTGCATGTATCTCATAGATTCATGTATCTATAAATGTATGAAACAAGTTTAATATCTAACACTCGGTAGTTGGTTGATCTAATTATCCTATACACCCCCTTATAGAAGTTCGGGGCGGGTGCACCACCCCCTTATAGAAGTTCGAGAGGTAGTATAGTTACCATGAGTCGAATTGAGGCTATATAAAGTCATGTTGGTTGACTAACTTTATTTGTAATTCTATGCCGTTTAGATTGCATGCTTAGAATCATTCATGCTTGACATAATGGACCTTGCTTGTGAAGTGATTTGAATCTCAATCAAGTGTACTTCCCTTGAGATATTTGATCAACAAGGTAATCCGAATTTAATTTTCCCTTGTAATATCAATTTTGACTGCCTCGGATCTCTGTTCTATCAGAATATTTGGTAGATGCAATTGAAGTATTACTTTGTTTAATCACCTTCTGGTTATCTGAGAAAGGCTTCAACTTTTCTTTTACATATTGCATCTGAATCACTGAAAATTCCAGTGTCGTATATTAGTGTTATACTGACTTCCGATCACGGGGAATGCTGCTGAATGCAAGCGCTATTATATTGGCCAAGGAAGGTAAGCTTGTCAGCTTTAGAACATATTGTCCATCCAGGACGGATGCGATGTCAACTTTCTTGGCAGGATATTTCTCTGGGCGTAGCTATCAGATCATCAACCCAGATATCTATGTTCGGGGTAAGTGATTATTTCCATTAGAACACAATGGCTCAGAGTCCTTACTTCTTCTACTTGCTGTACTCTAAAAATTTTAACTTTTATTGACCTTCTGTCACTTCGTCATTGTATGAAGGCATGTGATGTTTCTCTGAATTTGAATCTGCATTGCGATGTCCTGAAACTGTTTTATTGTTCCTTGTGTCATGTGGCTAATGCTGCACTTTCATCGACGGATCTAGAATCAGCTATGTCAGAATAGGCCGTTAGGGGTACGGATTTGCTATACATTTTCTTGTTCCCTTCTCAACTTATGAATCAAGTCATCTTGTAGGGAAAATTATTGTAGATTCCTTCCTGTGTCGTAACTGGGTGGATTATGAGACAACCAATGAACTCGAACTTTGAAATCTTGTAATCGGCGACACTTATAACTGTAATTGTCGTAGCTTTCTTGCTCTAGGTTTGTAATCAAACCCCCTTATTTGTGAACTTGATTTAATAGAATAAGTCACTAACTTGTCGAAGAAGTTTAGGAGAATTGTTAGTAGACTTGGAAGAATAAGTTACTAACTTATGGAGTAATAACTATAGGAGAATTGGTAGTAGTTGTCAAATTGTGGACTAAGTTTTATAGTTTGATTAGGAAGATCGTTAGTGGTTCTTTAACTTGAGGAGAAAGTTTAAGAAGTTAGTTAGTGCATTCTCTCTGTAAATCCTCCCGAGATGTATGCTTTTTCACCACAACAAAGAGAATCAATAAGCATAAGTGGTTAAGGTTCTTCTATTCAAAAGCTTCTCTCCCCTCACGTTGTCCTTTTTTGGTTATTTCATTTGTTTGGACATATTTCGATTCATATCGATCTGTTTTATTATGAGTCTCGAAAAGAGTCAGAAAAGAGTCAACGAGTGGAGGAGAGAGAAAGATGGGGAGAGGGAGAGAGAGGGTTGACCAGGTGTCTGAAGAGTGAGCTACCCACCATCTCACACGCTCAATGGCGTTGAATTTTTTAATAAAATCATGCACCTTTGATGCCTCTCTCTCTCTCTCTCTTTTTCCATATAACCAAACCCCATGCACTCACTTCTCATTTCCCACTCTCCATTATATATAACAATCCCAATCTAATCTCTTCCCATAATACAAAAAAACACCATCTTTTTCTTTTTCTTTGTCTGAACAAAAAAACAAAACAAAAAAAAAAAAAAAAACACTGAGAAAGACAGACAAAAAGGAAAGAAAAATGGGCAGAATTCCATGTTGTGAGAAGGAAAATGTTAAGAGAGGACAGTGGACTCCTGAAGAAGATAACAAGCTGTCGTCCTACATCGTCCAGCACGGCACTCGAAACTGGCGCCTTATCCCCAAGAATGCCGGTATCACTTTCTCTCTTTACAAACATTTCACACCATTACCTTACTCAATGTCTAATGCTGCTATCACATTCAGGTCTCCAAAGATGTGGGAAGAGCTGTCGGCTACGTTGGACTAATTACCTTCGCCCTGACCTGAAGCACGGCCAGTTTTCTGATATGGAAGAACAAACTATTGTCAAGCTACATTCTGTTGTTGGCAACAGGTACACTGTCTTCTTAATGTCAACATTGTTAGGAATCACGGATCTCCGCTATGGTGTATGATATTGCCTGATTTGCTTTTGGGATTTTAAAAGAAATTGTTAAGTCTTTTGTTGAGGGAAATGGTTAGTAGTTGCTTAACTTGAGGAGAAAGTTTAACAAACTAGTTGTGCTTTCTCCCGTGTAAATACTCATGAGATGTATGCTATATTCACAACCGCAGAGAGAATTGAAAAGCATAAGTGCTTAAGTTTCCTTCTTCAAAAGCTCTCTCCTGCTTCAGTTATTATGTTGGTTGGGGAGGAGAACGAAAAACTTTTTTATAAGGGGGTGGAAACCTCTCTTTAGCAGACGTGTTTTAAAGCCTTGAGGGGAACCCAAAAGAGAAAGCCCAAATAGGACAATATAGGCTAGCGGTGGGCTAGGCCGTTACATATTTCGATCGTGGGTCATTTCCAACAAACATTGTTTATGAATTGTGTATTATGACTTTGTTGTATAAAAGAGGATCGATTTCGACTCTGCAGGTGGTCATTGATTGCAGCTCAGTTACCTGGTCGAACCGATAATGATGTCAAGAATCACTGGAACACTAAGTTGAAGAAGAAGCTATCAGGAATGGGCATTGATCCAGTCACTCACAAGCCATTCTCCCATCTCATGGCTGAAATCGCCACCACTCTGGCTCCTCCACAAGTTTCCCATCTTGCCGAAGCAGCGCTCGGCTGCTTCAAAGACGAAATGCTTCACCTTCTTACAAAGAAGCGCGTCGATTTCCAGCTTCAACAAGCTAACGTACCGCCTGGAAGCACAACAGGAATGTACATTCATGGCAAACAAAATGAGAAAGATGGTACTGTTGAGAATATCAAACTTGGTTTGTCAAGAGCCATTCAACAGCCTGATCTCATCTCCCCTTATAAGCCTTGGAATTCTACTGATGCAGTAGGGACAAGCAATTGTTTTCCTGCATCAACGTCGGAGTTCCAATACGGTCCGCTGTCGTTCGGGACCGAGGGGGACGGATCGTCATGGAGCCAGAGCTTATGTACGGGAAGTACGTGCACGGCAGAACAGGGGCAACTGCATGAAATTCTTGAAGAAACAGAAGAAGAGCTATCAGAGAATGGAAAAGAGATGAGAAATAGGACAAGTATTTTCAGTTCAAACTCAGTGTTGTGGGATTTACCATGTGATGATCTGATGAATCCAATAGTCTGAGGAAGATGAAAATAAAACAGAATTTCTAAATAATAATTTCAACCACATCAAATGATGGAACTGTAAATAGAGGTTACTTTATGGGCTTCAATAAACTTCATCACAACTCTTTTTTTCTCTTCCATTTTATATATGAGTGAGACAAAGAAATATGATAAATTATGGAACAAAAATACATTTTTTGTCCCAAACGTTCGAGTTTCGTTGCTTTCGAGTTTTTGAGTTCTTAAACTTGGCACTAAAATCCGCTAAATTAATAAAATTACTCTCGAATTTCATATTTGTTCTAAAAATATTCTTTTTTAATAATATTTTAAACTTTTTTTAAAAAATACTAATTAACTTTCTAATGTGATATTAGTATAGTATTCCAAATTCCGATTGTAAAATTAATCATCAAATATAAAAAGATCACCATAATAGACACAAATTAAAAAAAAAAAAAAAACTAATTTAATTAACAATTATCAAAATATTATAAAATAAAATTTGTACCTCATTATTTCAATTATTTTACTTAGTTTTATTGGAAATAAGGTAATAAAATAACAGAAGTGAGAAGCAAAAAAATAAATTAATAATTCATTATTCAATTTTTTTCGTCCAGAATATAATATTTCAATTATATATTCTAATTAGTTGAGTTGTGTAATTATATAAGAGCAAATAATAATAGAAAGCAATGAGATGCGGCTAAGAACATTCATTTTAGATAGTCCGAATGTACCAGAAGATGAAGGCAGTAGGGACAGTGGCGCTTCATCTCCTTACTAAATTCTACGAGCCTCGAACAATGCAATGCAACTTTGAACCGAGACAGCTCGATAACGAAGGCTGCAATAGAATATGATCAATAATGTTTATACAAGAATATCAACTCACTACATTCTTTTAACTATATCTTTTCCACCCAATTGTACACTGTTTGATCAAGCAAAGTATGATGATGATGAGGACGTATCTGCCAGAATCTGCAGAACACAAGGATAATAAGCTTCCATCGATCTCGAAATATCAAATATATCATGCTGAAAGAATCATCCCACCTCTAGTTGTTCTTCATTAAATGAATCTTTCTGAATGTTCCAAGTATCGGCATGTGTCCTTCGAAACTCCGCAATGGCTTTTGTTACAGTAACTTTCACAGGTGATGGCTCCACGCTGAACCGAGCGAGCAGAGTGACGCACTCGGGCAGCCAACTGAAATAGTAGTAGATACAATAAATTGTATGAATTTATATGTCTATATAGTTCAGATGGTTCAACTAGCAAAACTCCCCAAACCAGTCCAAGAGAAGATCCCAAGCGGGAAACCTAAACTTGAACCGTTCGGGTTGTCACATGGATGTGTTAAGTATGTTGAATGATCATACACCCTAGCTAACTTGGAATCAGCCAACATATTTAGCATGGGTAGGAATTGAACTAATGAGGAAAACCACCGTTGAGGAATGTTCGGAGGAATTTAAGTAAGCAATACATTTCCATTGGTACAAGTTCTTAAGCCATAAAAGCTTATGCTCAAAGTAGACAATATCATACCACTGTGGAGGTTCGCGATTCCTAACATGGTATCAGAGTCATACCCTTAACTTAGTCATGTCAATAGAATCCTCGAACAAAGAAGTTGTATTCCAAAGTGACTCAAGTGTCGAATAAAGGGTATACTTTGTTCGAGTACTCCATTTGGATAAGGAGTCGAACCTCGATTAAGGGGAGATTGTTCGAAGGCTCCATACTTTGTTCGAGGGAAGGATTGTTGAGGAATGTTGGGAGGAGTCCACATTGGCTAATTAAGGGGATAATCATGGGTTTTATAAGTAAAGTCATGAGAGCTTACGCTCAAAGTGGACGATATCGTACCATTGTGGCCGTCCGTGATTCCTAACAACCCTATACGAGTAAAATGCTTACTATATCGATTAACAAGCTTGGCTGTCCCAAGTATATTACAAAGCAAGCTTTCAAGAATAAGCAGACATACCTCGGCATATCGTAAGGAGCTGACAAGACAGAAGCTGTCAAAGCAAGTACCGCACCGTGAACCGTAGCTAGAGACTGACCCGAACTTAAATTTCTGAAATCGACAACATAAAATTCTTTGAGACGATAGTACGTGCAAGTGCGGAATACATACCAATATAGCATTAAAGCCATGCTAAAATATCAAACATACAAGACATTGATTATCATTTCACATTCCTAAGGATAAAAACATGCCCATGAAAGTAATCAATGACGTTCTTTTAGAAGGTAGATGACATTTATATGGGACTTGAAATTGACCTCTTTCTTCTCTTTGCTTGGAGATTATTTGCTTCCCTGCATGCTCGCTCACGGAAATCTCTAGCCAGATCTTCGTCCCCGCCCTTCATAAGGCCTGCTAGAACCGCTGCAGCATGCTCTCGTATCTGATTCAAATATTAGGTACGTTATCAAAAGACGATACGAATCGAGTCCTCGGCCAAGGGGCTTATGTAGTAACAAAATCGCTATCAGCGAAGCTGAGTGCATTGATATAACCGAGTCGGACTACATTTGAACTACAGAAGATCATGGTTTTCTTAACATACTTGCATAATTGTTAATAAATACGAATCAGGAACATACCTCGACTTGGCTGTCTATAAGAAGCTTCTCAACAGTTCTCCAAATTTGTTGTTTCTCTGAACTTGTGAGAATGTACGTGTGCCTGTGTTAATTACCAAAAAAAGGGTAAAAAATATACTAAAAGTAATGCAATATGGAATAAAATTGAGAGGTTAAGAGAATGGCATCACAGAACAAGGACTTAATTCGAAAGTCTTATGTAACAACATAGGCCCACCGCTAGCAAATATGTCCGCTTTGGCCCGTTCCGTATCACTGTCAGCTTCCCAGTTTTAAAACGTGTCTACTAGGGAGAGGTTTCCACACTCTTATAAGGAATGGCTTCGTTTTCCTCTTCAACCGATATGAGATCTCACAATCCACCCTCTTGGAGGCCCAGCGTTCTCGTTGGCACATCGCCTGATACCTACTTCTGATACTATTTGTAACAACCCAAGTCCACCACTAGCAGATATTTGTCCTCTTTGGGCTTTCTCTTTCAGGCTTCCCCTCAAGGTTTTTAAAACACGTCTACTAGGGAGAGGTTTCCACACACTTATAAGGAATGCTTCGTTTTCCTCTCCAACCGACGTGGGATCTCACAGTCCACCCCCCTTGGAGGCCTAGCGTCCTCGCTGGCACTACGCCCAATGTGTCTGGCTTTGATACCATTTGTAACAGCCCAAGCCCAAGCCCAAGCCCACCGCTAGTAAATATTGTCCTCTTTGGGCTTTCTCTTTCGGACTTTCCCTCAAGGTTTTTAAAATGCGTCTGCTAAAGAGAGGTTTCCACACCCTTATAAAGAATGCTTCGTTCTCTTCCCCAACCGACGTCTTATTTCCTAGTAAAACTAATTTGAAGAACAGAGGCATTGGTTCGAAGTAGAGTTATCGGACAGCCAACTAACAGTCTACCTGTACATAAATGACCGAAGATATGTCAAGGTAGCAGATCTTGTTCTCCAGTTAGAATCACCAGCTGAAGAGAGAATTACAGATATAACCTTCTGCAAATGGGGTTCCCAGAAGACCCTCCATTTAAGCAATTCAAAAGCTGCCTTTGCAAATGTTGACAAATCTTTATTTGATGTTTCCTTCATAACCAAAGAATAATGATTATAAGTAACCATACATAGTATTTGAATAAGATCTGTTCTATAAGTTGTACAATGGTGTTCTTGAGTTCTAAGGAGACAAAACGACACAAGAAACAAAATGCACAAGTTTCTTTATCGATCTAAGTCCATCGAAGCTCTCTAAATGTTCGAAAATTTTGCAACTTGCAATTAAATCAATCAAGTATGCACAATAGTAAAGTTCGGTTTTACATACCTGCAACGAAATTACAGGATATAGAAGACCCACAATAACATCTAACAAATGAGATGACCTTCCGGACTTCATTGATGATATGAGAAAATGGAATAGCTGCAGAAGTGGAAGAGAGTTCAATAAATGATAGATTCTTGAAAGTTCAAAATAAATAGCTATCATATTTACCGTTTCCATCCATTTGACATCATCTTCTGAATCAACATTTGAGTGTCCATTTTGAACTTCATTGTCCTGTGATGCGTCTAAGTTAGACGAATGGCTCGAATTGTGAATATTCTTTACTGCCTGAGTTGCGCGTTCAATAAATAGCTTAACCCATCTTTCTTCCTTAAGTTCAACACGAACATCTTCATGTTGATCATGAGGATGAGATGCAAGAAGTCTAATGTTTGAGCAAACAACAGAGAGAGTCACACCTATTGCTTCCCTTACCTATTCAAGAAAACCAACACCAAGATTAAAGAAGAATTACATACACCTTTAGGAATCCCACACAATTCTTTAAGACATCTGTGTTTAGAAGCCCTATCTCTTAATTAACTAAACAAAATAACGTCCTGAGCTTATAATGTTTGTTGGGAATCACAACTCTCCATAATTATATGATATTGTTCACTTTGAGCATAAGCTCTCATGGCTTTACATTGGGCTTCCCCAAAAAGCCTCATTCCAATGGAGATGTATTTTTTACTTATAAACTCACGATCATTCCCTTGGGACTCCCTCCCAACAACCCTCAACAATCCTCCTCTCGAACAAAGTACACTATAAAGCCTCCTCCTAAGGTCTATAGAGCCCTCAAACAGCCTTCCCTTAATCGAGGCTCGACTCCTTCTCTGGAGTCCTCGAACAAAGTACACCCTTTATTCAACACTTGAGTCACTTTTGACTACACCTTCGAGGCTCACAACTTCTTTGTTCGACATTTGAGGATTCTATTGACATGGCTAAATTAAGGGGGCTCTGATACCATGTTAGGAATCATGACTCTCCACAATGATATGATATTGTCCACTCTGAACATTAAGCTCTTATGGCTTTACTATGACTTCCCAAGGAGACCTCTTCCAATGAAGATGTATTCTTTACAAACCCATGATCATTCCCT